AATATAATTTTAAGCTCGAAGAAAAAATCTGTAAAAATTAAGTCACACACCTAATATGTTGAAAGAAAATGGAAGACGATGAAAGAAGAATTGGTGATTTTAAAAAATTTAAATTATTCGTATTTTTTAAATAAACAATCACAAAATTCATTGCAAATTGACAGTTCCATTCCAAAAACTTTGAAAAAAATCATATTTTGTAAAGGATATTGTTATCAAATCTGTGTTTATTTTTTAAGTAAACCTTCACGTATGAAAAAATCTTAAGAATCCTATAGATATGGAGAATTCGAAAATTTCCTATAGGATTTCTTATACTATAAGAAACCCTATCCTATAAGGACCCTCTTATTCCCTATAGGGGAAATTCTATAGTATAGAACGCAATTTACAAGAATTTTATAGGAAACCCTCTAGGAAATCCTATAGGAAAATCCTATAGGAAAATCCTATAGGAAATCCTATAGAAAATCCTATAGGAAATCCTATAGAAAATCCTATAGGAAATCACATAGGATTTTTTCATACATGTTCTTANTTGGGGGGGGGGGGGGTAACAATTTCGGAGAGTGACGCTCAATTGTTAGGAAATAGGAAAGAAAATAATGAAATAGGGGAGCCTAAGCGGAGAGGAGGGGAATGATCTTTTCACTTGCCAACATAACTGGCTTCATAACTGTTCAATATTTTTCGTCATTTCGTTCGTTTGTGAGGAGAATAGACAGTGTGGCTTTGAACATTTATAACTCAGTATGCATCTTATGCAAAAAGTCCTAAACAAATAATTTAGTTGGGGGAAAATGAAAGAGAGAATTGATGAAGAGAGAATTGCTAACACAAACAAATAAAAATTATTATTTTTTTTAACAAACATTGAACCTATCTTCACCGAACACTTGTATTGGAGTAGACATGAAGTCAGATGATGTTGGATGATTTTTTTTACATGCGTAGAATGCCCTGCATTTTGATCGACAATAGTAGGTCCTACAATTCCGTTTCCACCACGAGTTACTTGAATTATTATAGTCTGGTCCAAGTCCACGGTGGACCTAGGCTCAGTTATTGCGGACAAGAAGCTTTGGTAGGTGAGTCATTCTCTAGACTCCGACTTCTAGCTTCGCACTGAGCTAGTAACTTGATCTGAGAATTGACGATTTCCGCATCCTGCCGCCCTTTTCATCGTGAAAGTGCGTGCTAGTTGAGTCACCTGCTGTCAATAATCCCTGAAGTCTTCCCTCTCGATTTCTAGTAGGGGAGGATGGGGCAAAACGGCCCCCCTTCAATCGTCAATATTTTTCAATTCAATAATCCGATTGGGATGAGTTAGAGCTCGTTTTGAAGAATGAAAAATTATCTTCAAAATGAAGTTGAAACTGGGAATTTTCACAATGTCATTCACAAGTTATTGACAATTGAAGGGGGGCCGTTTTGCCCCACCCTCCCCTATCTCTTGCGTCTTCAACTAAAAGCCTCTTAATTATTGATTTTTTTTTATAATTCGGGGATTGGTCACGGTGTCACTTCATTCCCCTTCTGGCCATAGATCGGTTCCCTATTAGGCGGTTTCCACTTTTCCATCCGGATTTGCATTGTTCTCTTCAGTTTTTCAGTAGAGACACACGAACCTACTTATTCTAATTCTGGTATTGGTGAAAAAGTGGGAACACTGTTAACCTACTGATTCCATTTCTGGATGGTGGCCTATTTCGTGATAAAGGGACCTTCATACGCATCTTCGTGAAACCCTTTTCACGGTTTTGCATCTCCTCACAGGTCACTCACGAGGACAAACCATACACTGTTAGAAAAAAAATTAATTTTCATGGACAGTTTTTTTTATTGTTTAAAGTGGAAAAATCTACATGATTTATTTACACTGTCTGTAGTGGATTTACAGTTTTCGTTTCAACATTTTTTTTATGTGGTTACATTTCATTGTACAGTCTTATGTTTATTTTACCTGCTTGGACGAACTTGTGTAGTATATTTAGGATTTTTGAATCTGCAGATTTCAAGAAGACTTACAGACTTTGTTATTGAGAGTTTATATTTTTTCAAATTTTCTAGGAGTGTTGTTCTTTCCGTGTTAAAATTGGGACAGAACCAAAAGATATGATTAATGTCTTGTGTTTCGAACCCCCAAAAACAGCTGGCTCATGGACAGTGCTTATATAAAAAAGTGAGGACCCAGTTGACGAAATCCAACATGGCGTTGATCATCATGGAATCTGTGGAATGTGTGACGTTTCAACATGGCGGCATGATTAATGGTGGATTTAGATGAATCCGCATGAAAGATATATCTCATGTGTTCCCATTCGAAATCATCATTTTTAAAGTGCTCACTGGATTTGATTTGCACCGATTGGTGGTTTTGTTGAAAAAAATCTAACATAAAAAAAAAGTGATTGGAAAATGATAATATTTTGTTGAACTTTGTTTTAACCGTTCAATCACTTTGATTTTCTTAAATATTCCCGCATTTAATGTTCATTGATTGAATTTCCTTGGGTGCGTTTCGTAATCGGGACAGTCGCAGTAACAGTACTGCAACCCTATCCAATTTTGCTTGACTGTAGCTACGGTAGTTGATTCCGAAACGCACTCCTTACCCTATCTAAAAAAAAGAGAACACTGTCATGGCGGCCACCGCAAGTGTCATGGTGCACTGCTCATGGGCCTCATGGGCACATTGATGAGAATTTTTGGCGAGTTCTCATGTGAATGTTCATGAGGATGAGGAATGCGACTGCGACGGCGCTATTCAAGAAAGTGCGCGAGAATTACAAATTTGATTTCTTACCTCGAAAAGAAGAAACAAACATCGTATATATACATACATTGAATACATCAGTGTATATTTTCTACACAAGAATTTGTTTACAATTACTGGAATGAAAATTTTTTTTTTGGTGACAAGTGTTAAGAGCTAATAAGATTGACTGATTGATAATTAGATAAACTTGAATGTCAATAATGGAATGAAAAAAATTGGAAATCTAAAAATATTTGATTTAAATTTTTTTATTCGATTTCAGTTTTTCGAGGTTTTGTTTAATGAAGACAATACTTTATACCACAAAATCAGAGAATATTGAATTTTCTCCATGAAAAAGAAAGTCGGACTACTTTTTATGTGAAGATTTTCAATCATTATTGAATTGGCTAGAAGATCGAAAATAAAGCATGGATTAGCAGCGGTTTTCGAAGGGAATGCCACAAACTTGCTTTTTTCAACATTCCCTTCTTTGGAATGAATAATGGAAATAGTTCAACCTTCCAAAAATATAATTTTTTTGCATGAAATCGTTTTTTGGTGAAGTTCTGAAATCGGGAAAATTTATTACAATTCAGGAAAAATTATTCTTAGAATGGAAAATGGATTATTACAGAATTATTTATATGAAAAAACGTCGCAGTCTCTGAAAATAGCGATTTTTCAATCATTTCATTAGTCTACTGGTGAAAAAAAAATTAAATTTCATGGACAGTTCAGTAGTAATTTTTAGGACAGAGACNAATATAATTTTTTTGCATGAAATCGTTTTTTGGTGAAGTTCTGAAATCGGGAAAATTTATTACAATTCAGGAAAAATTATTCTTAGAATGGAAAATGGATTATTACAGAATTATTTATATGAAAAAACGTCGCAGTCTCTGAAAATGGCGATATTTCAATCATTTCATTAGTCTACTGGTGGAAAAAAATATAAATTTCATGGACAGTTCAGTAGTAACTTTTAGGACAGAGACATTTAATTCAGTTTGAGAAGGGAAAATCATGAAAATTGAAATTCTACTGAAAATTAAACGGTATTCAATATTTCTTAACAGCGTGAAGATAGAAAGTTATTTTTAAATTCTGATTCAAGACATGAATATTCTGTACCTAATTTCTCTGTATTTTCGATTGATAAACCAATTATAATTATCCAAATCATTTAGTTCAGAGGAAAATCGAATGATTCAATTTCTGTTCTGGCGCAGAAGTTTTTCTTTTTATCTTTTGAAAAGATTAAATTCACGATTCCCGGCGGAATAAACTTTACAATTTCTACAGAATTTTAATATTTACTTAAATCGCTTTATTACGGATGTTCAGTTAAAATTTGGTAAATCCTTCGTTCCTTTTTAAAAACGACTGAATTTTTCCCGTCATTTGTCACCGTCATTACTATCCAAAATCTTTCTTCGAGTACGATTTTATTACGGTCAAATACTCTTCCTCCGAAACATTTATTACTGTTAAAATAATTTCTATCCGAACATTTTATTACGGTCGATATTTTCCCGAATTTTAATCTTCGCAAATCCTCACTAATCCCTCCACTCAAAACAGTTGTCACATTTGAGTTGGTTTATAACTGCAAACACAAAGAACCTTTCAGTTTTATGCCCTCAGCGCTCCCTAATGACTCGGTTTTTCCAGTCGTTATTAATTCCTTGAATTTTCCCGAACCCCAATTCTCGTTATCCACGCGGACTCTATTATACCCCAACGCATTACTTGGGCCCAAATCACCTAACCAATAGGAACGTCGCATTGGGATCCCCGAAAAACTTAGACTACCGTGCCAATCTGAACGATTTGCCAAAATGTCTTTCTCCACGGTCCGCATTCTTTCATATAAACCCTAACATTTTCACATTTCAACCAGTTCCTCTCGTAAATAATTTTCGTCCTTATCGGTTTAAATAATAACGAATTACGCCGCGTTTCGGTTACATTTGACATTCATTTTTCTTTACTGTTTAATATCCTCTTTTAACTTTCAAATATTTCATTATTAAAAATATTATCCTCTAAACAAATGTACAAGTGTAATAAATAAAGTGTTGATTATTCAATAAACAATTTAAATTAAATTAAATAAAAAAAGACATTTTTCAATCACCTCCTCAGTATCTCGATACTGTGCGAGTGAACATAATTTTTGGTCCTTCGAGCTGGATATCAAACGTAATTAAAATCAGTGAAATAGTAAGTGTAAGTGAAGATGCCACTCTCAGACACGGAAGAGTTTACCACTCTCAGGAGGAAACGTGTTTCCATCCAGGCAGCCATCACCAATTTCACAACGATCGTGGAGACATACACACAAACTCCTACGAATGACAGGAAGCCATTTCAACTCCAAGCAGCTCTCCAAAGACTCAAGGAAAGATTCAACGCATTTCCCGACATTCAAGATCGTTTAGAAGAATTGGATGAAAATGAAGTATCAAAACGCTTCAAGGTGGAAGACGCCTACGACAAGGTTGTAGGAAATGCTCTGGAACTCCTGGACCTCCATCAACCACAAAATCTGGCGCAATCACCATCACCATTTCACACGGCATCAGCAGCACCAGCCGTAATTAATCAATTTCTTCAACGACCTCGCTTGCCAGAAATCAAAATTTCTGAGTTTGATGGATCAATTGAAAGCTTCCCTCCATTTTGGGACTCCTTCAAAACAGTGATCCACGAGAACGCTGACCTACAGAACATTCAAAAGTTCCAATATCTGCGAGGATTACTCAAGGGGAGTGCTGCTGCTGCCATCGGTTCTCTAGCAACCACAGAGGAAAATTATGCAACTGCCATTGAGATTCTCAAGAAGAAATTTGACTGTAAGAAAAAGATACTCCGTCGGCACTGGACAATCATGCGGGATTATCCACCTCTACAACGGGACTCTCCAGCAGCACTAGGACAGCTAGCAGACGTCATGAACCAGAACATCCAAGCACTGGAAACTCTTGGACAGGACGTCAATAGCTGGGATCTACCCCTCATCGACCTGATTACCCTGAAGCTGGCACCAGAAACGATCTGGCAATGGGAGCTCAAAACTCAAGGTACAGAGTTGCCTACCTACAAGCAACTACTAGAATTTATCGAAGCCAGAGCGACCTGCCATGATGCTAGAACATCAACGTCGAGGAGCCATCCTCCAACTTCTTCAGAGACATCTTCCTCTGACAAGAAGAGAGAGAAGAAGCTCCGAAGACAAGCCTTTGTTGCTGCATCAGCAGATTCATCAGCATCATCATCTCCATCAACGTCAGCGGCATCAGCTCCAACGGGTTCATCATGCTTCCTCCATTGTCGAACGATACATCGCCATATTGGAAAGTGTCCAGTATTCAAGGGTCTCACTCCAGAACAGAGGTATTCCAAGGCAAAGAGTGCTGGCTTGTGTATCAACTGTCTCAAGCCAGGACACGAACGCTCAGTGTGCGTATCACCAGCAGATTGTTCAATCTGTAAGGATAGACATCACACTCTTCTCCATTTCAACACTGGGGAGAAGTCAACGTCCTCACAATCTTGACTGGAGCAGACACAGAGCCCCTGTTCACGGCGAACGGCATTGATCGTTAACTCTTCAACATGTGATCTGATGGTAACGGCGAAGGTCAACGTACTTGACACTTACAGACAACCTGTCGAATGTCGAGTGCTACTGGACACCGGATCCACCACCAATTTCATCAAAGAGAGTTTAGCCATCGCCCTCAACCTACCGCTTCAACCATTCGCTGTATCAATAGGAGCATTGAATGACGCGAATACCACCACCAGGTATTTAGTCATCGCCACAATTCGCTCACGAACAACTGAGTATGAAAGGACACTCAACTTCTTGACGATCCCCAACATCACTCAGGCTGTACCTGATCAACCCCTTGATCGTAGCGCCATCAGGATACCTGCCAACATCAAGCTTGCTGATCCTAACTTCCATCATCCAGCATCAGTGGACATGCTCCTTGGATCTGGACCAACACTTTCACTCCTCTGCCAAGGCAAGGAAAAGCTCACGCCAGCAGATCAACCAGAATTATATCTTCAACAGACTTTGCTCGGCTGGGTAATCGGAGGGAGCGCGCCAACAATGCAGACAATACGTCGACGCGTATGCAACGTTATCAGCACCTCCAACCTTGACTTCGATCTCTCCAAGTTTTGGGCGATTGAAGAAGCTGACGCCACTTCATCTTCAACCAGTACTGAGTCTGATTGCGAACGACACTTCCTGAAGAATATCAAACGCGACAACACTGGTAGATACATTGTTGCTTTGCCGTTCAACGGGAAGGAATCTCTGATCGGCGAGTCACGATCACGAGCTTTCCGCCGCCTCAAATCTCTGGAAAGAAGACTGGATGGCAACGCAGACCTCAACACTCAATATCGTGCAGTCATTCAAGAATATTTAGATCTTGGTCATCTCACGGAAGTGACTGGAGCAGATTTATCCAGCTTCGGATATTATCTGCCACATCATGCTGTGATCAAGGAAAGCAGCTTGACGACGAAAGTCCGTGTTGTCTTCGATGGATCAGCGAAGACCAGCACCGGAATTTCTCTCAACGAGACTTTACATGTCGGGCCCACAATTCAGGACGACATATTTTCTCTTCTTCTAAGATTCCGCCTTCACCCATACGTGCTCACTGGGGACATCGAGAAAATGTATAGGCAAGTTCTCGTACGCCCTGAAGACAGGAAATTCCAACGAATCCTATGGCGCGATGGGAAGGAACCAGTAAGAACGTTTGAGCTAAATACAGTGACTTTCGGACTCTCTGCAGCTCCATATCTTGCGATTCGATGTCTTCATCAATTGGCGAAAGATGACGGCCATCTACATCCAGAAGCTGCACGAGTGCTCCNTTGCGATTCGATGTCTTCATCAACTGGCGAAAGATGACGGCCATCTACATCCAGAAGCTGCACGAGTGCTCCAACGTGATCTGTATGTCGATGATCTACTCACCGGAACACAGACTCGGGAAGAGGCTGTTCATCTACGTGAAGAGTTGGACAAATTGGTGAAGCTCGGAGGATTCAACTTGAGACAATGGGCCTCCAACGATCCGTCCATTCTGAACGATTTAACACCGGATAGTATCAACCACAACCTTCAAATTGGCGATACTACAACATTGAAGACTCTAGGAGTGCTCTGGAACTCAACAGCTAACAGCATCACCTACACCGCCAAGGTATCGTTGAGTGAGACAATTACCAAACGGATAGTTTTATCTGAAACTGCCAAAATCTTCGATCCTCTTGGTCTCCTCTCACCAGTGGTCATCGTGGCAAAGATGATCATGCAGAAACTTTGGACTCTGAAGACAGGCTGGGATACTCCACTCCCATCTGACATCCAGGAAGAGTGGCTCCAGTTTTATGGACAACTCCAGCAGATCAGCATGGTGATCTTTCCACGATTCGTCCTTCAAGAGAAATTGACAGAAATTCAACTCCACGGATTCAGTGACGCCAGTCAGGATGCCTACGGAGCTTGTGTGTATCTTCGTTCAATTGGAAGCAACGGGGAGGTCAAAACTACGCTCCTATGTGCCAAGTCTCGTGTTGCACCACTCAAGAAGCTCACGATTCCAAGGCTTGAACTCTGTGGAGCACAACTCTTGATCAAACTCATCCAAGGAATCAAGAAAACCATCAACATCAACATCGATCGCACCATCTACTGAACAGATTCCACTATTGTACTCCACTGGATCCACACACCTGCACATCAGCTGCAAATCTTCGTCTCGAATCGAGTGGCAGATATCCAATCAAAATCTGCACCAGACGATTGGAGGCACGTGAGAACTCATGACAATCCAGCCGATCTGGTGTCTCGCGGACAGCTCATCAAGGACTTCATTATCTCCAAGATCTGGTTTGAAGGTCCCGCATGGCTCCAAGCAGAGGAAGACAGTTGGCCAGTTCTCGATCTTCAATTCTCCTCTCCTCCAGCTGAAATCAAGGGAAGGTTCTGTCATGTGGCTCATGGTGGACCAGAAAGGCATCCTCTGGAACGATATTCCTCATTTTTTCAATTGAAACGAGTGATCGTATTCTGTCTACGTTTCAGGAGTCACAAACAGGGCCCTCTCACAGCAGACGAGCTCGCAGCAGCTGAGAAGGGTATCATCTACTGGCTGCAAACAGAGACATTCGGTCCCCTCAGACGTGCTCTTCAAGGTATCGGAAGTAAGCAAGCCAAGAACCAGGAGTTGGCCACGGTGTCCAAGCTACATCCATTCCTGGACAAAGATGGTTTTATCAGGGTAGGAGGTAGACTGCGGAACGCCATGATCCCCTTCTCGCAGCGACATCCTCTTATCTTGCCCAAGTGTCATCCACTAACAAAACTCATCATCAGGGAAGCCCACATTTCTCAACTACATACAGGTCCTCAAGCAATCTTGTACTACATCAGACAGAAGTATTGGCCATTGGATGGTCGCAACTCTGTACGTCGCGAGATTCAAAAATGCATCCGATGTACCAGATTGAATCCACCGTCGGTCAACTACATCATGGGAAACTTGCCAGCAGCCCGAGTGAGAGAATCTCGTCCATTCGCCAACGTAGGCATTGACTATTGCGGTCCCTTTTTTATCAAAGAAAAGAAGTTCCGCAATCGAGGTCGTGTCAAGGTCTACGTTGCCGTCTTCACCTGTCTAGCAATAAAGGCTGTTCATCTAGAGGTTGTGAGTGATCTCACTACTGAAGCATTCCTGGCAGCACTGCGAAGATTCATCGCTAGGCGGGGATGCTGCAAAAATATCTATTCAGACAACGGTACAAACTTCGTCGGGGCCAACAATGAGCTGAGGGAAATCTACCAGTTCCTTCAGTCTGAAGATCACCAGAAGACTCTTCAATCAGCGTTGACGAACCAACAGATCCAATGGCATTTCATCCCTCCCCTATCACCTCACTTTGGTGGTCTGTGGGAAGCTGCGGTGAAATCCTTCAAGCATCACCTGTATCGCATCATCACCAACGAGCTTCTAACCTTTGAAGAGTTCAACACCTTGGTCATCGAAATCGAAGCCGTGCTGAACTCCCGACCTCTAACTCCGATGTCTGCCGATCCCAACGATTTGCTGGTCCTAACACCTGGTCATTTTTTGATCGGGGAGCCCCTCACAAGCTCAAGAGAACGTGATTTCGCCGACACTCCTAGCAACCGATTGTCCACGTGGGAACACATTCAAAAGTTAAAACAACACTTCTGGACTCGTTGGCATCGGGAGTACATAAGCGATCTCAACCTGAGGTCCAAGTGGAGTCAAGGGGAGCACCACATCAAGGAAGGCACAGTGGTCTTGCTAAAGGAAGACAACGTACCCGCACTCCAGTGGGCCTTAGGACGTGTCGTCAAGGTGCGGCCCGGAGCAGATGGCATCATCCGTGCCGTCACAGTCAAAACGGCCAAGGGGCTTTTTGATCGCAACGTCAAGAAGTTGGCTCCTTTACCAGTAATAAACGCCGACACGGAACAAGTAGATAGTTAAGCCCTTTCTTTTATTTCTTTTAAATTCGTCGAACCTCAAAAAAAAATATTCGAATTAACCTATCGTTTGCGTTGATTAAATAGTTACTCAACGGGGGAGTCTGTTCTGACGCAGAAGAAGTTTTTCTTTTTATCTTTTGAAAAGATTAAATTCACGATTCCCGGCGGAATAAACTTTACAATTTCTACAGAATTTTAATATTTATTTAAATCGCTTTATTACGGATGTTCAGACAATTTGGTAAATCCTTCGTTCCTTTTTAAAAACGACTGAATTTTTCCCGTCATTTGTCACCGTCATTACTGTCCAAAATCTTTTCTTCGAGTACGATTTTATTACGGTCAAATACTCTTCTATCCGAACATTTTATTACGGTCGATATTTTCCCGAATTTTAATCTTCGCAAATCCTCACTAATCCCTCCACTCAAAACAGTTGTCACATTTGAGTTGGTTTATAACTGCAAACACAAAGAACCTTTCAGTTTTACGCCCTCAGCGCTCCCTAATGACTCGGTTTTTCCAGTCGTTATTAATTCCTTGAATTTTCCCGAACCCCAATTCTCGTTATCCACGCGGACTCTATTATACCCCAACGCATTACTTGGGCCCAAATCACCTAACCAATAGGAACGTCGCATTGGGATCCCCGAAAAACTTAGACTACCGTGCCAATCTGAACGATTTGCCAAAATGTCTTTCTCCACGGTCCGCATTCTTTCATATAAACCCTAACATTTTCACATTTCAACCAGTTCCTCTCGTAAATAATTTTCGTCCTTATCGGTTTAAATAATAACGAATTACGCCGCGTTTCGGTTACATTTGACATTCATTTTTCTTTACTGTTTGATATCCTCTTTTAACTTTCAAATATTTCATTATTAAAAATATTATCCTCTAAACAAATGTACAAGTGTAATAAATAAAGTGTTGATTATTCAATAAACAATTTAAATTAAATAAAATAAAAAAATACATTTTTCAATCACCTCAGTATCTCAATACTGTGCGAGTGAACAATTTCTTTAATGTTGAGTTTACTAAAATTTTCTCCAAATAACGTTGATTAGAATCAATAGCCAGAATTATCAGATTATCTGACATTTTTTACGTTAAGTATAGGAGAATCTGAATGCAACACAGTGAAAGTGATGATCTATTTTTTTACTTTCAACGAATAATAATAATATCTTAAAATGTAATAATTTTCGTTCTATAAATTCAAAATTATTAAATACTACGGAAAAATACGAATGATTTAGATGAAATTAATTCCGAAAAGATTTATAAATTGTACGATTAATAAAAGTGCAAATGTTACTTTAAAGAGTCTCAAAAGGATATCAAAATCAATAATAATCAAATCACGAATCCTATCAATTCCGAACAGCACGATCCAAATTATGAATATTCTAAAGATAATTAATAACATCCAATGCATATCAAAGATCAAAACAATTATAAATAAATTTTAAAGACAATATTAAAGCTAAATTCGATATTTCTGAGAATGAGGACGAGAATATATAAATAGGTAAGCAGACACGAGAATTTAATAAATTGAAGACAAATTACTGAGAACATAATTCATGTAATTTCATTTAAAGAAAAACTATTCAAATACAATATCTTTTTCAAGAATCGTCAAATAAATCAATTGATTAATATTCAAATCAGCTNACGCCGACACGGAACAAGTAGATAGTTAAGCCCTTTCTTTTATTTCTTTTCAATTCGTCGAACCTCAAAAAAAAAAATTATTCGAATTAACCTATCGTTTGCGGTGATTAAATAGTTACTCAACGGGGGAGNAAATTTCAAATATCTCAAATAGAAAAATGTTTTGTTCTCAGAGTCAATGAAAAGAATATATCGCAATAATAATTAATTTTCGTCAAATATGATACACAATTGTCAATAAAAATATACTTATTTCAATATTTAGTCGAACTGCAGTTCCGCAAAAGCACAAAGAATATAATAATATGAAGTACGAAATAATCAATGAAATACAAGTACAAATGGTCATATTAGCGAGCTCGCATATGGCAAAAGGAGTCTATACAATACAACAGGTAATTCTAGAATACCCGCGATAATTCTTTCGTATCCCCACTCCTGGTTCCTTCTCCCTTCCCTTTTCTCCTAATACTTATCGATAATCCCACTTTCTACATTTCAACCTGCCGGCCAAACCCCATTTACCACAATCTAAATTAAAATTCTATTATGAATAAAAAGCTATGACTCAATATTCCATAACAGCAGAGAACAAAAATGGTGATATTTACGTAATATTATCTGAACCATTACCATGAATTTTAAATTCATGAGAAAGGATGGAGAAGTCAAACTGTCATTTCAAGTTTAAATTTTTTATTCGGTGCTAAAAACATGAGGTGACGATATTCTAAGCACGAAATTATATTGATAATATAAACAGTAGATTAATTAAACTACCGAGTGAACTGAATTAAAAAAATTATAGCAGTGTGCGCACACACCTTTACCAGAGTATCACCAAACATTGAATTCCAGCACTTTACTCTCTGAATTTTGTTCAAGAAGAATTTTGATTGTAATAATGATCAAAATCTCATTCAGTGAGCATAGAAATTACCACATGCGCAAATCATTCATTGCAATATGAAAATTTCACAGCTAATGAATAAATTTAGAAATAAGAAATATTGAATCTGATACAGAAAAAAAGAGTATAATGGAAGGGCCACCAATATCACGGCCGCAATTGCGTTAGAAATGTGAAAAGGTTGCCTGAAATAATAATGCAAATCCGAAACTATTGACACTAGGAATATGAAAATTTTAGGGTAGGTCCTATTCCCGATATGAGCACTCATTAAGAGAACATTTTCAGAAATTAATTCATTCATTAATGAATATATATTTCAGCTTCTCTATAACTTTCATCTCTGAAAAGGTGAATAGAGAATGATTTACGGAAACTTCAAGGAAGTTTGCAAGTTCCCTCAAAAATTAGAGAATCGTCAGCTTTTTCATCCAAATGTAGGATAATTTGGGAATTTTCTAAAGAATTCAAAACAATTATGAGGTTTTTTAAAAAACAATTGATAAAGTTCTCAAATGTTCTAGAATTTTTGGATAAACAATGGGAAAACAATTGAAAAGAAAAGGCGGAATTTCCTGAACAAAACTAATGTGAAGGAGTCACGTGACTGACTACTGCACTTTGATTGAAATGAGAAAGGAGAACCAATTTAAGAAATACCTCGGATTTTTACAACAATTGCACAAAAATTCTCAAAAGACAGTACTACTCAGGCAGACTTTCACAATAGTGGGTTAAACAATTGATTTCACATGTGAAAAAATTCAGTTGAAAATCCTAGCGAATTCGCTAGACAATTCTATTGGATTTCTATTGAATTTTCTATTAGCTTCTGGCCATTTCTATTGAAATGTTCAATAGAAAATATTCTGTAGAAAAACTCAATAGAAATATATTTTTCTATACAAGTTATTCTTTTGAGATATTTTCTATGAAATTTCCTGAGCTGAAATTTTCCAAGTTTTTTTCACTCCATTTTTTCTTTTCTGTTCATCAAGAAAATTAAACAAAAAAAGCTTAGAGAATGTGAGCCAAGGAAATTCCACAGAAAATATCTCTATAGAATAAGTTGTATAGAAAAATAGAATTGTATTGATTTTTTCTATAGAATATGTTCTATTGAACATTTCGATGGAAACGGCCAAAAACTAATAAAAAGTTCAGTAGAAATACAATAGAATTGCCTAGCGAATGTGCTAGGAATTTCTATGAAATTTTTTCGTGCGTGTTAACACTCAGCATAATGGAACGCTGATGAATCATTAATTGTTAAAAGCACTCAGTCAAGTCATTGTTAGTAGCGGCCGCAGCGGCGCTACTTGACTACTAATTTTCAGAACAGTGACACTGAATGTGGTTTAGGGGGAAAAAAAATCATGGAATTTCAGGTTTCACCGAAAATTCAGTAAAATTCCAGAATTTTAAGCAGCATAAAGTCGAAAATTCCTATCTTCATTTGGATTTCCAATCTAATATGAATATTCAGTGCCAAGTTACATTGAATTTCCAATGAAATCTGAAATTTCATGGTTTTTTCCCCCTAAATCCTATTCAGTGTCATAATTCTGAAAATTCAAGAATACATTTATCGGAATTTTCTGATTTTCTATTCATTTTCAGGGAAAAATGGAACTGAGATTTACAGTTCGGTTTGATTTTTCCCCGAAATTCTAAATTTTCAATGACGAAATTCCTTGAAATTTCAATGGTAATTAAATTCAATAAAAATTTCCGGAATGTGTACTGGAAATTTCAGATAAAAATTTTTAACAGTGTACACGTACACAGAGTACGTAACACAGTAAACCAAATTTGCCTTAAATAGACAGATCTACTCCGAAATATAGAGTGTTCGGAAAAAACATATGTTGTAAAGCATATTATTGCCGAATCTGTATTCATTTTCTACAAACTATCATCAATTTTTCGATGAGATATTCCATTTTCCATTAAATCACACGCTGTCTCGGCGGCTAAAGTTCAATAAATTTTACTCGCCCCTAGCAACCATAATATGAGATACGTTTCAAAATAAAATTTATCATCTCGCAGATTTGATGATTGCAAGTGACATCATATTAAATCGGTGAAATCATATGATTTCACTCATTTCTCATAACATCAGGGGGCCTATCATGCCGAAGAAACGGAGCGTTCGCACTGCACAAGTGAAAAACAAATAAGTTTCCAAGTGAAATGACATGATGGAAACGCTCCTTTTTCTTTTCATGATAGGCCCCCAAAATTGATTTCATGTAATTTCAGTCCAACGCGACACAGTGATTTTACATGTGAATAGCCCCTCGATATCATCAGTTATACACCATTTTTTCTCAATTAAAGAAAATATTCAAGTCTTAAATCTCATCAGAAAATGTACATGTGACCCATTGTCTCCTCCTTAACTA